ACAAGTTAGAACTCTGTTCAAAATCCTCCAATGAATGTTTCCCCTGACCCTGCTTTATTTTTCTCCTTATCTCTGATCACCATCTGTCTACCCCACTAAGGTTGGGCATTTTTGTTTCCTGCTGTATCTCCAGTACCCAGGATAGGGCTTGATAACCCACAGGCACCTCTGTACATACACCGAGCAAATACATGACTGAGACATCAGAATAAAATTATAGCCCTAGCCGGTTCGGCTCCGTGGATAGAGCGTTGCCCTGCGGCCTGAAGGGTCCCAGGTTCTACTCCAGCCAAGAGCCATGCCTGGGTTTCGGGCTCAATCCTCACTAGGGAGCGTGCAGGAGGCAGCCGATCAATGATTCCCTCTCATCATTGATGTTTCTCTCTCTCTTCCTCTCTGAAATCAATAAAAATATATTTTTAAAAAACATATCTACAGTTTGACAGAACACTTGATCACATCACCTCATCGCTCCCTTCATCATTCCATAGGGACACTCCAGAGAAGGCAAAAGGTGCCCACTCCCCAACCCTCTTAGTCAACAAGAATCCGGACGCAAACCAGAGACTAGCAATATTGGACTTAAAAACAAAAACAAAAACATTTCACTATCCCGCTCAGCAACGTCTAGTAATGTCTTCAGACAAATCAGTTGACCTCTCTGAATCTTTTCCTCAGCTGCCAACGGGAGGCTCTTACACTTCCTCACACAAAGTGTTGTTCTGGGGACCAGCAGGGATTGTCGGAGGAAAACAGCACTTCGTAAACTAGAAAACGCCGAGAAATAATCAGGAAGTTATTTCCGATACCAGACCGCAGCTCTAGGTCCCGCATCTGACCCAGATACGAAATCCTCCCATGTCCCAAGGAGGCGACGGTTGCTTTCCTACCTTATTACCTTACCTGCACAGCCACTACCCCCAAACGGTAAACCGAGAAGCCCTGCGGGGAAGGACCCGAAGCCCAACTACAGCCGGGCTCGCCCGGACCCACGCCGGAAACACGAGCGGTTCTGCACTTGCGCAGTGGAAGAGACGCGGTCGCGCGATGCCCCTTGGGATATGTAGTTGTGCGGAAACGGCTGGGTGCAGTTGAGCTCGCGCAGCCGCCTGGCCTTCTGGGAGTTGTAGTTGCAGGACAGTTTTGATTGTGACGCAAAAGGTGGGCGGAGCAGCGACCGTCATTGTTCGCCTGCTGACTTAATCCGGGAGGAGTGGCGGTTACGCCCCCGCGCGGCCCGGACCGACCGAGGGACCAAGAGTTGCCCGAGTGTAGCGGTTGCGGACTCTCCACCCTGTTCTCGCTCATCCGCTGCCCGGGAAGGGGAAGGGGAAAGGGAAGAGCGGCGGGGATGGAGGGAGACTCACTGTCTAGGTCCCAAGATAGCCTGCTGGCCTAGGCATCTTCTCTCTGCATCCCAGGACAGCAATGCCTAGCAAAGAGATGATGCTCCCAAGTCAGCAGCTGAGTTGCACCTTTGGACATGGTCCAAGTGTCTGGCTTTGGTCTCCGAGAGACCTGCATTGGAATTCCAGACCTGCCACTATACTCACCAGCAACCACTGGACAAGTTCCTGGTGTAAAATAAACTGCCTGGCCCCTAATTGGCGCTTAGTAAACAGTCGTTGCTGTTATTTCAAAACACTGTTCTCAACTTCATACCCAGAAACCTAAAGACGGTTTACTATTAAAAATTCTATCTCAAGAGACACTTGCTAAATGTGTGTCTTATTAAGAACTACTCTCTTTCAGTGTTATTTTTCTATCAGATTCCAATTATATTTCATTTTGACTCAGAATATTTCTCATGGAGTGCTGCCCTGTGCGCATCACTAAAGTGTGTAGTCACAGAACGTGTCCTCTAAGGAAAAAAACCCTGATTTCTAACATTCAGAACATGAAGTACCATAAAGGTAGGAGCTTACTGTACACAAAGGATTGCCTGTGGGTGGTTTGTCTTTCCACGTGTAAGGAGGGGGAAACCTTAAGTTAGGGAAATGTAATGGGAGACGTTGCTAGCTGAGTATGAAGAAAGGAACTCCAAAAGATTCTGGGGTTTCAGATAAATTCTGAAAACATCATGTGTTTTGAGTGATAGCACTCTCTGGTACCTTGAGTGATAGTACCAGAAGTTTGGCATTGAGAGGGAGAATTGGGTACAGGAAAGAAAAAGAAAAAAAGGGACAAAAAGGAGAAGAAGGGGAGGGGGAGGGGGAGGAGGAGGAAGTGTTCTTGTCTACACAGCAGACCAGAAAGGAAATGTAAGTACTGGAGGAATATGAGGAACTATTTTTGAGGAAAACAGTGGGAAGTGGGGGAAAAGGTGAGTAGTTTTGGGGGGTAAGGATTGAAAGTTTGGAAGCAAAATAGGTTATCAGTTTAACTCAGGAAAATAATAATCAAGGATTTAGCTGGAGAGGAGATTGAAAAAGACCATGAGGACAGTGCTATTTGGGGGCGGGGGTGGAGATGACAGGAGGGCTTGGTGAAAGTGAGAAAAGAGAGTGTAGGCAAGCACAGATGCTTTAAATGTTGTGCCCTGACTCTGTGTTTAAGAAGCAGAATGGAGAGCAGTCTAAAGGGGGTGGGGTGAGTTCTCCTCCCTAAATTCAGTTTGAGATAGCTATACAGTAACCAAATAAAGACGACCTTCAGATAATTGGGAGAAATTGCCTCAAGGGAAAGAGTGTGGAGGCGAAGAAACAGATTTAGGAGATACACTGTAGAGAAACAGGAGAGCATGAGCTTACATGGGGAGAAAATATGCAAATGGAAGACTGGAATTGAATTTTTGAAGAATGGTGAAAGATTAGTGGATACCTAATAGTTCACTAAAGAACTAATGCATCATAGTGAATGAATGAAATAATTAAAGTAAACCATCAGAGAAAAAACTGAGAAGTGAGGATGGCATCCTAAGAAAGTGAGTGCTAAGGTAGGGCCAGCAGGAAAAAGGCAACCAGGAAAAGCTCAGGTTTCTCAGTGGATTAACCATGTGAGCTAGACCAGGGGTCCTCAAACTGCAGCCCGCGGGCCACATGCAAATACAAATATTGTATTTGTTCCCGTTTTGTTTTTTTACTTCAAACTAAGATATGTGCAGTGTGCATAGGAATTTGTTCATAGTTTTTTTTTAAACTATAGTCCGGCCCTCCAACAGTCTGAGGGACAGTGAACTGGCCCCCTGTTTAAAAAGTTTGAGGACCCCTGAGCTAGACTGAAAAAAGTACTCATCTGTAAAGTGAGGATGACGATGACAGGATTAAATGAATTTACACCTGTAAAGCCCAGAGGACAGTACCTGGCACAACATATGTGTTTGCTGTAATTATAATAACTGGACTCAAGTCTCCAAAATTCTGGGTTTGAGTCCTAGCTTGGGCAAGTTCCTTCACCTATCCCTCCTCCTCCATCTGGAAATAATAAAACTGACTTTACAGGGTGTCTGTGAAAGAAGATATCTGAAAGGGCTTTGAAAATGTGAACCACTGTACAAATGGATGGCATCTTCATAGCTGCCCCTCCTCAAACTGCAATAAAAACTTTAAAGCTAACATCGGATGCTTGCTTGTTACAGGCATCATGCTTAGTACTTTATGTGTATCATCCCAGTCAGTCTTTGTGGGAAACCGCCTATTGTCTTCACTAGCAGAGAGGTGTGGACAGGGAACCTGAAAGGCTGGTGACCCTTGAAGCCCTGAAAAAGTTCAGAGCTATGCACCCACTGTGTAGTCTGGTAGCTGAAGCAACTTCCCCACCATATAGTCATATAAATCCTTATTGATAAGATAGTCTGTGTGTTACTGGAACTTGCCTGCCTAAGGGCTATGGGTGTATCCCAAACTAAATAAAAGGGAGAACTAGGCCAGAGCAGTGGTAGTCCTCCCCCTAGAGGTGGACTCCCGCCTGGCCCCCATTTCCCAAATTAATTCTTTTCTAGTCTCCATTTTGTGTGTGGCCTTCTCCAGAACCCGAACCCTGAACAGGTACCCTGAATAACGCGGGACGAGAAAGGAACTACCACAAGTCTTCAAAACGACTTGAAGAGGTTGGTTACTGTTATTACCCCTATTTTACAGACAAGAAACTGGGTCTCAGAAAGTGTAAACCTGTCATTTGCTCAAAGTCACACAGTGAGCAAGTGGCATAGCAAAAAATACAAGATTCCAAAGCACAAGTTTGTGACAAGAGGCTTATAGACATGGCCCACCTGTTGCCCGCAGTGTAAATGATTGACATTGTGTCACTGTCCAGGATTCAAGGAGGGAAAGGGTCCTCAATGAAACTCCCTGCTCAGTAGGAGAGAGGTTGCTGGGTAGTGACTGATGTATAGGATACCCGGAAGAAATGCTTGGATTTTTAAAAACAGTTTTTTAAAATATGTATTTTATTGATTTCAGAGAGGAAGGGAGAGATAGAAACATCAATGATGAGAGAGAATCATTGTTTGGCTGCCTCCTGCATGCCCTCTACTGGGGACCGAGCCCACAACCCAGGCATATGCCCTTGATTGGAATCGAACTCGGGACCCTTTAGTCCACAGGCCGATGCTCTATCCACTGAGCTGCCGGAAGCTGGTCCATCCTTGCTGCTTGACACAGTCCCTGCAGGGAAGAAACATCTGCACAGCATATGTTTCAAGGGACCTGGCGTATATGGCATACTATTCTTCATATGTTTGCTCCCCTTCTTGGCGCCAAAGTTGTTTCCCCAGGTAGGGATTTTCCCTGAAGTTAGGGAGGTTATTAACTAAGTGCCAGGCAGGTAGTTAATCACTTTAACTACAAACAGTCACGCTTAATCTACATAATCTTTACTCCCTGGAATGGAGATAAGAAACGCCCTAACCTTTGGAATAGAAATTGATAGGATTAAAATCAACTGGTATAAATACAGATGTAACAAGACAATATAAAATAGAAACTGGTTTGGTTATTCGTTGGGGTGGTCCGTGCACTTAGCTCCTGGGCTGTGGCTCTTCTTTAGGCAGTGGGAGGGGCGTTGCGGACTAAGAAGCGGCCTAAAACTTCGGCGTTGAGTGAAAGAAAATGGCCCGAACCAAGCAGACTGCTCGCAAATCCACGGGTGGGAAAGCGCCCCGCAAACAGCTGGCCACTAAAGCTGCCAGGAAAAGTGCCCCCTCTACCGGCGGGGTGAAGAAGCCCCATCGCTACAGGCCCGGGACCGTTGCGCTTCGAGAAATCCGTCGTTACCAGAAATCGACCGAGCTTCTGATCCGGAAGCTGCCTTTCCAGAGGTTGGTGAGGGAGATCGCCCAGGATTTCAGAACCGACCTGAGGTTTCAAAGTGCAGCCATCGGTGCGCTGCAGGAGGCTAGCGAAGCGTACCTGGTGGGTCTATTTGAAGATACTAATCTGTGTGCCATCCACGCTAAGAGAGTCACCATCATGCCCAAAGACATCCAGTTGGCTCGCCGGATACGGGGAGAGAGAGCTTAAGGGAAGGCAGTTTTTACGGTGTTTTGTAGTAAATTCTGTAAAATACTTTGGTTTAATTTGTGACTTTTTTTGTAAGAAATTGTTTACAATATATTGCATTTGTACTTAAGTCATTCCATCTTTCACTCAGGATGAATGCGAAAAGTGACTGTTCACAGACCTCAGTGATGTGAGCACTTGCTCAGGAGTGACAAGTTGCTAATATGCAGAAGGGATGAGTGATATTTCTTGCTTCTCATGATGCATGTTTCTGTATGTTAATGACTTGTTGGGTAGTTATTAAAGTACTAGAATGATATATGTGTACAGTATCTTTTTGCAATAAAACTGGTTATGACTTGATCCAAGTGTTTAACAATTGGGGCTGTTAAGTCTGACCATGCATCACTGTGATAGAATGTGGGCTTTTTCAAGGGTGAAGATACAATTCTTAACCACAGTGTAATAACTTAGTTTCCTAAAAAGAAAAAAAAAGTAAACCTGGCAGCTATAGAATACACTATGTGCATTTATAATAGCTATTTTATATATGGTAGTGTCAACATTTTTAAATTAAATGTTTTACATTAAAAAACACACACACAAAAACAAAAAAATACAGAACCTTGCTGGAGAACCTAGCGAGAGAACCTGGACAGAACTTGGCTGGAGATCCTGGCTAGAGAACCTGGCTAGGCTGCTGATCAACTGAACGCTGTCTCCGTGTCATTCCTTCTTCGCCGACTCCGTCCACACCTTTGGGAACCCCTGGATCTGCTGGGGCTGGACCCCAACACTGAGCCAAACCAGCTAGGGCTAAAAACAATTTTAATGCCCTCTAGGTGCCAAGCACTGTGTCAAGTAGGGGATGACTGCCCAGGTAGGTCTCTGGCAGGCTGCATTCCTCACTTTCCCTACCACTAGGTTTCCCTGTGTCCAAAGGGGGTTTTGCTAATTTCCTCACTTCCTGGCTTGTGGTCTAGGCCAGCAGTCGCCAATCTTTCGGACCTCATGGACCACCAGTTGGCAACCGCTGGCCTAGAGCACCTACCTCAGAAAGTCTACTGCCCAGTAAGGAACCTTATGTAATGTAGGTGTCTCCCTTTGTGAAGCACAAGGAATTTGGAGGTGGTTCACAGGTTCCTGCATGTGAGATGTCCTATTTAGTCTGTGACTCCTTTGAGGGGTCTTAAGCTGCAGGCGCTGAGGCTGGGAAGTACCGGGCACGCGCTTGGGGGCACAATTTGCTGTATGTGACAATTACGATGTCTTTTCTCTGTGTCAGACTGGGGTCCCAGCTGAAATGGGAAATGTCATCTTAAATGTGTGTACAGGAACCTGACTCTCTTCCTTCATCTCTCACAGTCCCCTGCCTCACCACCTCCTTTCCTCCAGCCCTGCCACCAGGACTCCATCCTTGTCCAGCCCTGTCCTTCCCCAAGGTTCTATCTCCTTGACCACACTGCCTTCCCCCTCAGCAACCAGCCTTTCCTCTTTCGTGCCCCTCCCGTCCCGGCTTTCTGCTCCCACCCCTGCCTCACTCCCCCCAGCCCCTTCGCTGGATGCCTGCCTTCTCCCTCCCGACCCGCCTCCTGTGTCTCCCAGCCCTGCTCTGACGTGGGAGGTGAGGGGGGTGGGGGGACGGATGACTCACAGTGTTATGATGCAGTTCCACAACACACAGCTACATTCACCCACAGACCGAGGTACAGACGGGAGGCAACCTCTGGCCCCCCAGCAGCTGGCCAGCTCTGCAGCCCCAGTCTTGAGCCCCTAACTCCCCTCCCCCACCCCCACCCCCTTCCCAATTGAAGGAGCGGAAAGAGAAGAGAGAAGAGTGAGCAGAGAGATTGAGAGAGAGAGAGATAGACGGAGATCTCTGGAGCAGACCTCAAGGTGAGGGGGCAGCCCTTCTCCAAATGATTTTTTTCCCCTTTGCAAATTTCCTCCTCCTGCTGCGTGTTGCTTTCTCCCCTTTGCAAAAGCATTATTCATCCATCCTTTGTCCTCCCTTCCCCCTCCCTGCTGCCTCCGCTCCTCAGCTCCTCCATCCCTCTCCAAGCTCTGACGGTTCCGCACTTATTTCCCGGCAACTTTGGCTGCAGCATCAGGCATCGCTGTTGATTGTTTTGTGGCTGTTGCAGACCCCCCCCCCCCTCATCCCCCTCTCCCCCCAAAGTCCGCCCTGGGAGCTGGCTGCGCTGCTAATGATTTTGGACCATACCATGCGAGAATGCCAGCCCAGAGGGGCCGACGCCTCAGAGCAGATGAGAAAATCCATTGTGAGTGCGTGGCCCCCTCCGTTTTTTCCCCCTGAGAGGCACCGGATTCGCACCTGGTTCCTGGAGCCTCAGCCTTGGGGCCTCTGCTGCCGGTGATGGTTGCTCAGCAGCCCTCCCTCCCCAACCCTCCCTCTTCCCCGCCTCCCACGGTCCAGCTCTGGCTCACTCGGGGAATATCCTCTCCCCAGCACTCAGCTTGTCTTTGTTTTTCCCTGTCATTTGCCCAACTTGCTTCTCTCTGTGATCTGAGATGGAGAAGATATGATCCCTACCACCCCTCCTGTGAGTGATTCTCTGGCCTGTGCAGCCTCTGCTTTGCTTGATGGGGAAGCAGGGGAGAGAGAGGGTGGGAGGCGTGACGGAGGCCCGGGGAAGGAGGCCGAGCAGGGACCTGGCCAGCCCCCTCCTGGGCCCTTGAAGGTGCGCTCGGTGGAGCGGCAGAGGGCCACCGCAGGCAGAGTTGGAGGCAGACCTGTGAAGTGGATGCTGACCAGTTTGTGCTGGTGAGGAGAGCCTGTTTCTGCGACCTGAGCCCAATGTCACCCTGGGTGTCTCCCCGGGGCCCAGCCACGGGGACAGGACGTGGAACAGAAGATGGTCTCTGTCCGGGGTTTTATGGAGAGACTGCCGGCCCCAAGAAGGACTGGAGCAGCTGGGCCCTCGCAGCCACTGCAGAGGGCAGGATGACAGCCTGTTTGCCCTGGCTCCCCGGAGCCCCGCTGCCTCTGCTCTGCCTCAGGGTCTGCCGTTGCCAGAGAGCACCCAGCTGGCACCTCTGAACCAGACTTGGGCTAAACCACCCGCCACGGCCCTGAAGAACCCATGAAGGAGAAGGCAGCACCTCACCTGCTTATCAAAGCCACCAGAGGCCACCTCCCTGCTTATCCTCTGCCTCCAGCTCCCTCAGCCACACAGGGGCTGGCGTTTGGACAGATGTCAACATCTTCCTCAAGACTCCTAATCAGAACCCGGCAGATATATCTTCTGTCACCCACAGGGGCACTGCTGTTTGTCCCTGCCTCCAGCAGAAGGTGGGAACATTCTCTGCCTTGTGCCCCAAAGCACAGCTTTTGAAAATTCAAGTCCCCCTTCTTGCTGCTCCTTGAAGATGTTGTCCATACACGACACCCCCCAGCCCTGCTCAGCCCAGGAGGAGTGCTGTCCTTCCTGCCAGGGGCCCGTTTTCCATCGAGTCCAGCCATCAGCTTTGCCCGAAGAGAGTTTCTCTCCTATAGCTGGGGGCCTCCATCCTGAATTATTGGCTAAGGCCATTGTAAAGAGCAGTAGAAAGAGACCAAGGGGCTCAGAGGCTGAGAAGACAGCCAGGCACTGCTTCTGAGCCACACCGAGTGGACCAAGGGGCAGGCTCAGGCAGTAACAGCCACTTCCAAGGTCTTTGGTAGAGAAGGAGACACCCATGGAGTTCTAGTGCCCAGAGGAGGGATGAAGCCCGGTGTGTGCACCTGCTGGCCTGGCCTGCTCTCCCTCTCATCTTCCCCTCCTCCTCCCACACGAAATGTATGAAGGACCAATTGTATTGCAAATAGAGGCGATGAAATAGAAAAACTGCCAGACATCCCCAATTCTAAGAGGCTTAGAAGCCCCAGAGCCTATCAGAGCATGGGGGACGCAGATCCTCACCGAGGAACTGAAATCAAGGAGAGCACTGCAGATGGCATCGCTCCCAGGGCAGCGTGGACCAGCGGCTGCTCCCCGTGGAAATGCTGGAGGCTGCTCCCGCCCCGGGGGCGGGGGGGCGGGGCGGGTGAGACAGCGCCTCCCAGCTAGGGCACCTGCGGCCTGGAGCTGCTGCCAGGCTTGCCGGAGCAGATGGGAATCCAGGGGACGGGGAGGCTCAGAGCGACTGAACGCTGAATTGATGGCGATGGGGCACGTAGGGCAGGGGAGAGACGAGCACCAGGCTCGCCATTCCCTGGGGAGGGGCTCCACATGAGGTCACAGCTCTCCTGATGCACCTTCCCCGCTTCCCACCCCTCTTCCCAGGTGACTTCTATTCCTACCTGGTTCACGTCTGGGGGGGGGGCCCTGGCCGGGCAGCCCCCCCACATTTCTCCTGCCCTGAAACACGGCTCTAGCCAACCTGCTCCGCTGCTTCACCTGCGACCGCCTGTGTGGGGGCTGCACAGCGCCGGCCCCACCGGCCCGCCAGGGCATCGTCCTCCAGCCCGTCATGCCCAGCTGTGACCCCGGCCCGGGCCCTGCCTGCCTCCCCACCAAGACCTTCCGTAGCTACCTGCCCCGTTGCCACCGCACCTACAGCTGCGTCCACTGCCGAGCACACCTGGCCAAACACGATGAGCTTATTTCCAAGGTACGCCACATGGGGGCCTGCCACTCCCCTCCTCTCCCCCACCAGCCTGCCCTTCCTCCTCCATGGCCCTGGGGATTCACTGCCTGTCCCCTGTCTCCACAGTCCTTCCAAGGGAGCCACGGCCGAGCCTACCTGTTTAACTCTGTGTGAGTCCACCTCTCTCTTTGTGTGTGTGCTTGTGTGTGTGCATCATGTTCCTCTGTGGACAAAGAAGGTGAGCCACCAGAAGGTGGCCTTGCAACTCTGCTTTGCGTCCCCTCTTGCAAAGGGGTTCAGAAGCTCAGGCTGCAGTTCTCTTGTGGGGAGTCTGGGCAGAACTGGAATCCCCTGTTGGAAGAAGGCCCAGGCACTAGTCTTAAAGGGGCAGGCTGCTGAAGGCAGGGGCTCCCAGGTGGGCGGGTTAAGCTCTCCAGATGGAAGTTCCTTTGGGCTGTTGGGGGGCTGGACTGACAGAGCGACACCACTCGGTGCTGGGTCCCTCCTGTTTCTTGAGACAGGGTCAACGTGGGTTGTGGGCCGGCAGAACAGCGCCTTCTGCTCACGGGGCTCCACTCGGTAGCTGACATTTTCTGTGAGAGCTGCAAAACCACCCTGGGCTGGAAATATGTAAGTACAGGGGAGGGGCGCCCTCCCAAACGGACAGTCTCCATGGCCCTCCAAGCCCCAGTGGGGTGGACTGGGTGGGGGGACTTTCAGGGCAGGGGTAACACAGGAGGTAGGAGGGCCTGGCGGGGACTGCGTGGCCCCACATTCACCGCTCCCTCCCCACCAGGAGCAAGCCTTTGAGACGAGCCAGAAGTACAAGGAGGGAAAGTACATCATTGAAATGTCACACATGGTGAAGGACAACGGCTGGGACTGAGGGGCTCAGGCAGGCAGTGCCCTTCCTCCGCATGCCCCACCCTCCCGTACCTGTCTCCTGGCCCTGACCAGCGGTCTGTACCAGCATGAGTACTGCTCCACCCCTGGGGGGATCCCGGCTCCCACCAACCCCTCCCGCCTCCACCTCATCACTCCCAGGCCTCTTTGGAACAGGGGTCTGGGGTACTCCAGGGGTGTCCAAGGCTCAGGAGTGGGCAGCAGTCAGGAGAGAGGCAAAACTGGGGAAAGGGGTGGTTGTGGGTCCTTCCTAGCCCCAAGGTCCTATAAATGGAGGAGATGGCAGGCCATGCGTTAGGCAGAGGCCAGTAGGAGGAATCTGCAAAAAGCTCCACCTTTTCGAGTAAACAGAGGACAAAGCTTGAGTCAGGGGCTGGTATATCCTGGGCCACTGAATATCAGAGAAAAAGCTTGGGTTGGGGTGAAGTTTGGGCCTCATACACAGGGAGAAAGCAGTCTCTGAGGGTGAAAGGAAAAATCTCAAATCCCAGGCCCTGAGAAATAAAGGGATCACAAGGGTTTCCATTTCACTCCACTTGTTTATCTTGGCACTAAAGAGGCACTTTCCAGTATCTAACCTTTGCCACTTAGTGGGATGGGGAGAGCTGCCTCGGGAGCAGCCCCCACCCCCAGCTGGCTGTTTCCGGAGCGAGCGGTCTCTAGGGGCATTCCCTGAGGCCCAGCTACTGCTCCCTGGGAGGCGGGAAATCAGTGCTGCGGGGCCAGGCTTTCTCGTGGCTGCCACCAGCGAATGAAACTTTTGTATGATACATAAAGTGTTTGGGTTTATTTTTAATAAAAAGAGGAAAAGCAGCTATGAAGTGCTGTCCTCTGACTTTCCTTCCTTGTGCAAGTAAACCAGTCACTCCCCCACACCGTCCCTTCATGCCACTAGGGGGCAGCAATTGCTTTGTCTGTGGCAAAACCCCACTGGAGTTTTTACTAAGGGATGGGTATCCAGGTGAGGTTTTGTTTAGTAAGAGGGGTGGCTTTCATGAGTCATTCCATTTGGAGCATCCAAAACCAGTTTGAGTCTACTGGAGCCCTTGATGATTAATCAGTTTTGCCTGGATTCATGATGGGACATCTGGAAGAACTCATCCCAGAGCTAGGGTGTTCTTGGGTCCCAGTGCCTTTGAGCCTGATTCTGTCATATTTTGGTCAGCTCACGGCCATGCTTAAGGCTAAGAGGAAAGTCGCCCAGCTAAGGTGCTGCCCTGGCAACTGATACAAAGTGGAACAAAACAGTTCAAAATTGCAGCATCAACGCAATCATGTGACCCAAGTGCAATTTTTTGGCAGCGATGTGAAGTTGCTATTGTTGTTGGGTCACTGACAACTGCGGGGAGGACTGTACACATTATAAAAACCAAATAACAAGCTAGCTTGTTATTTCCAGGTTCAATCATTGATACTGAAAATATTTGCAAAGCAACTATTGCTTTTCAGGCCTGGTGTTAACCACCGGAGATGCAAGTGAAGAACAAGGCAGCCTGGCCTGACTTCATGGTGGTCTAGTGGGAGGACAGTCATCAGGCAATTCCAATAGAAGGTGACAGGATCTGAACAGGGATGGGGAGCAATCTTGGGAGCTTGCAGGAGAGGTTTAGTCAAAATCTGAGTCAAAAATAAAAATCTGAGTCAAGGCAGGCTTAGCGAAAGTGGCACCTGCAGGATGAGAAGTTGGGTGGGTGAAGAGTGGGAGGTGGGGGAATAGGTCAGGCAGAGAACTGCGTCAGGTGGCTCTTACTTAGCCAATTTGAGGAGGAAATAAAAGTTTCCCCTATCTGGAGTATAGGTACAAATGGGTGAGAGATGAGAGGACACAGGAAAGACAGGCAGCAGTCATAGACCATTTAGGGAATCAAGATTTCATCCCGAGGGCATTGGGGAAACACTGAAAAGTCCTTGTTTTTAAACAAGAGTGGAGTAGCATCATCAAATGGCTTTTTTGTGCCCAGAGAAGACACTCAAGTAGAACCATTAATAGACTGAAGAAAGTACGGGACATAGACTGTGTAGCATCTCCAATACTGTCAGATGTGAGAATGGAGCTGTCTGGGCAGAAGAACAGAAGAGAACTGGAAGTCAGGTGCAAGAAAGCAATTGCATTCCCATCGGCGAGGCCTTGGGGGGCTGGGTCTGCCCCCCTGTTCAGTGTCTGCATGCCTGGTGATGTCTAGAGATCCTCTCAGGCTCCAGCGAGGGACCCAGAACCCTGTCCCTCTTGGTCCCATTTCTTGCAGCAAAGTTCAGGAAGGTTTCTGAAGCTTCAATCTCTGACCTTGAAAATCGGGCACAAACTAGCTGCCTTCTTAAGGCTCCCCAAATATGCCTGTCTCTCAACTTACTTTTAAGTTCTTATTCAGCCAACTAGGCACTGTGGGAAGCAAAGAAGTAAATGGCATAGTTGTTGCTTTCAAGATCCTGCAATCTCTCCTGGAAGAAGCCTTCTGTGGGCTCTGCCCAGGGATCCTATTTAGTCTCTAAGATCAGCCTGTGGGCAATGCCGTCTAAATCTTGGATGTCCAGACAGGTATATACCCTCAAGAAACATCATTATCAAACACCTGTGGCCAAGAGGGGTCATGCTGGGAATTACAGGTGGATATAAGCTCTCCTTTCTATACCCAAGACCCAGAGAAATAGCCACAGGCGTTGAATGCCAGGAGCACCCATGTCCTCATCCCTGGGGAGCAGTGTTTTCAAATTAGCCCTTTTATCTTTCCTGTGCATCCGATTTTTCTCATAGAGGTCTACTCGGGTCATAACAGGGATTCTCCCAATCTTCTCCATTCACCACCCTCCAGTCCCAAGCCACGGCTGAGACCTCAAGCCAACAAGCCACCACTTTTATCCTTAAAGGCTTGAGACTTTGGAAGATACCCTCATACAACCAGCAGGTGGCATTCAAGCCTTCCACCCCTCAGCTCAGTTGAGAACCTACCCAAACCTCTTCAGATAGTTCTACAAAAAGATAGGTGAACTGTCGGATTTAGGACAAGGTTCTATCCAGGCTCTGCAATTTAAGAGTTATATAACCTTGGCCATACTGCTCAAACCTTCTGGCTCAGTTTCTCCATCTGTGAAATGGGGTTATGGCTTGCCAAGGAGTTATTAGTGCACACCCACAACGTAATAAGGGCCTAGCACACAGATTGCATGTAGAAGCGCTTCCATAAATGTGAGCTATTCCCCTGTGATAGTGAGGCTTCCCGAATTCCCACTAGGGTAGCTGATTGGTGCCCAGATGGGAGAGGAAGTCTTGATGCTGAGGAGGCAGCCGGCGCTGGTAGCACTACACGGCCAATGCCCTTTTAACATTGCACTGCTAGTGGTAGGTGCAGACAGTAGCACAATGTGAAAAGAGCTCCGGCCTGCAGCAGAGGCGTGCCGGCGCTGCCTCCTCACCCCTCTCCCAGTCCCCGGCCCACTCAGCCTCCCTCGGCCCTTCTCATCTTCAGTACAGCTTTCCTCCCTTCTCCTCCGTTCCCAGTGTTAATCCTCTATTTTCGCGCCACTCCTTGCCTTCTTCCTCATGCTTGCCCAGCACTGCGGCCACCTTTTTCTTGAGTTTTGGCGTGGGGAACAGGGTCCAAGGAGGCAGCCGAAGGAATACCTTGAGCTTGACTCTCACTCTTCACAGGAAGTGACTGGTGGAAACCCCAGAAATTTTGGGGACACTCACGTTATCTGGGTTTGTGTCTCTGTCAGCTTCTCTTCTGGAGAGAAGCTTGCCCACCAGGACCACAGAGCCCTCTATTCTTCCCTACTTTAAAGCTCTCTCTCCTTTTTAGATAAAGGGGGGTTCTAGGCCTCAAGGGGACATCTTGGCTGAAGCTCCAGGACCAGAGGATGAGGGACTATAGTCACAAGTTCCCAGGCAGCACAGATAAGCTTCCAGGTCTGGAGGTGGAAGCTGTGAGTGACGCCATGGCCCTGTATCTCCTCTGAGGTCTTCAAAATCCACTTTATGGATTCAACATGAATCAAAATGGGGAGGGTGATTCTGTCTCTTATACTGAGTGGTAGGGAGAGGCTTTCACTGGCAGTGGGATTCGAATCTAGTGTGCTTCCTATTTTATCCAGGGACTCCCTCCCATTAGGAAGTCTTGGAGCTTACCCAGGACTTCCCCATCCTACCCTACAGGAGGGGCTTAAACTCTGGATAAACCATCCCGAGACTGATTAAAACCCAAAGCGCAAGACTGGACCTGGAGAGCCAAAGGTTCAGAGCCCTAGCAGGACACACTCCTGGCCGGAGCTATGGCCCCAGAAGCTCAGCTCTAGTTCTGACCCGGTGAACTGTGGTGTACCAACCAGGGAAGGCCTTTCGACCATGCTGATGCCCTCCTCCCCCATCCACGGCCAACAGGAGGAATGGAGGACAGAATTCCAGTTGGGAGCTCTTCCTCTGGGCTTCCCCTCCAGCCTTCACCCACCCCGCTCAGGAAGCAGGAGGCTCTGCCGCCCTCCCAGGCAGAGTTTGTTCCTGTCATCTGCAAACATGGGCCCTGTCCCCTAGTTTGCACAGTTCTAATGGGCGGAAACTAAGGCCCCGCTAGGGTCAGTCACCAGGCCTCTGCTCCTGGGTTGGGCAAACCAGTCCCAGCTGGGAACTGGATCATGTCAACAGAGGGGGAAAGACAGGACTGCCCCGCCAGCTTTAGGGAGGCTAGAGGAAGATCCTTCACCAAGGAGTGCCCCGAGCGAAGAGAAGGGAGAGGGGGCCGGGGCCAAGATCCCCTCAACTCTCACACCCAACTCCTTCCAGGGCGGGATTCCCTGCAACTCACCAGCCAGCAGGGCCCCTCCCCCACCTTGGGCCCAGGAGCCATCCCCGAGCTCCTTCCAGAGGCGGGTGTAGAGGCCGAGGAGGAAATGGGGGAGGGGAGGCCCGGCTCAAGTTCTCTCTACTCCCCCTCCTCATTGGCCACCATCTTCCGGCCCCTGCCCCCCAGAGCAGCAGGGGATGGGGCCCAGCCTGTGGAAGGGAGAGAAAGGGCCGGTGAGGGTTAGCTGGAGCAGCGGGGGCAGCGGCTGGCCCCAACTTCTCCTCC